TGGTCTTTATGTCATATAATTCCCCGTGCGTCAGAAAACGACCGTCGCGTGCCGCCGTCACACGGTGATCAGCACGGTGAGGTTCCCCAACCCGGAATGGGAGGGTTAGGGAACCGCAATGTTACGACTGTTTTCCTTCTTGGAGTGCAATATTTGGAGCGAAAAATACCGCAAGAAGTCATGGGGGTAAAGAAGCATGTTGACTGGTTGTTGAGTAGACCTCTCCCCGAAGGAGCGGTGATAACGGCACTAAGGGAGCGTTTGATGAGCGGCTGGGACCATGCGCGTCTGACTGCCTTGCCAGAAGAGTACCCATCAGATGGGAAGCAACCGGGAGTGCAAATGGCGAAGTATACGCACTGGATGGGGCTGCCCTTTTCGGGAGCCGCAGCCGTCATGTGGCCAACACATGCTAAGGTTTTCATTCCTCGTTTAGCACATCGTAAGCTAATGCAGTTTCGTTTATGTTGCTGGGCTATGGAGGCAAACAGAGCACGAAGAGGCAAGTACCATGTCCCCAGGGGGCAGCGGTTTTGCCGCTCTTGCGGTACTAATAGCCCAATCGAGGATGAAAAACGCGTGTTATTGGAATTCCCAGCCTATAATGATATTCGTGTGGAAGGCGGATTCGATCAACAACAGAGCATGTTGGAGGCCATGAAATGGGAACCCGCACGTCTGGCGAGGATGTTGGAACGTATGTATGTTGTTACAGGGTGGTTAACTTAGGGTACGTGTGTGGGCTCACCGAAACTCAATTACCCCCTTTGGACGCTAGTCTGGGCTGATAGTGCGGTTTTTCCTGCTCTCCGTGGCTTTTAGGCGTTGTAGTATTGCCCTTGGGCCTTCGGCTCGTATGGGTAGTCTTACAGGTATGGGGTCACGCACAACCAACCATGTAACAGACACACACACACACACGCATCTTCTCGCAATTGGGCGATGTATGTCGTCATAAAGGTCAACTAGAACCCCAGCGGAAAGATGCTGTCGTCGCATGACAAGACGCATCTGGTGAGCTCCAATCAGGCGGCAATGTAGATTCGCTCAGGCGGCAATGTAGATTCGCTCGTTCGCGAATTCCCAAGTTCCAACACGCCGATTCCGCAAACAAATCCTATCAGAAACTTACTCAGCTGGAAAGGGAACGGAGCACAATGCTCTCACCCGCGTTACCAGCGGAGGAAAGTCCTCATGCTTCAACTCCTAACACAGCCACCCAGCCAGGAAGGAGGCCCGCTGGCAATCCTCCTCGTCCTACTGTGGGCTCCTGATTCCCCTCCGTCGTCGTCGTCCTCCCCTTCCCCTTCCCCTTCCAGGGCCTCAGCACCCACCCCACCCACATCTTTCCCCCCGTGTTTGTGCAAGCCGCCTTCCGCCGCGAATCCGCCTTCCAACGCAACGAATGAGAAAATCCCTCAAAAAATAAAGATAAACACGTGCTGGGAGGAGCTCATGAACGGATCCACAGGATGCATTTCACCTTTAATGATTCGCAAAGTGATTCGGTGGGTCATTCGGTGGGTCATTTCCTCCCCCCCTTTCCCCCCCCCCCCAACACACACACACACACGGCACATCACAACCTCATCCCATCCCTTCATATCCCACAGGCAAAACACACATCACAAAAATGCAGTACTTGCACTCCGGGCCCTTCGCACAGGGAACGGAGACAGGAAAAAAAACAAAATACGAGTTCAACTGTCGTACATGATGATGATGATGATGATGATGATGATGATGATGATGATGATGATGATGATGATGATGAAGAAGAATCCCTGATGATGATGCCGTTCAAGCATTTGAAATTAATGAAGATACTATTTCTTCGTAGTCTTGTATTAGTGCTAGGGCGATTAGGGCGATTAGGGCGATTAGGGCGATTATAAATTCGGCCGCCCCCGGGAGGCTGCCCGGATCGATGATGCAAGTGCGCCCCGACCTGACGGCTGCGGGCTGTGGACGAGACAACACAGAACACGTCACTTGGGCAGCCAACAACAGAGCGAGCCCGATCAGAGGCCGGGGGCCATCACAGGACGTGACGCCGTGCATGGGGCCCCTGTGTGTAAGGCCCCCGTCCCCGCCCCCGCCCCCGCCGCGGCGTCGACGCCGATGTGGACCTCACGGGTCCCTTCTTGCCCAGCAGCGCATGACGTCGCAACTTAGCGCTCCAGGCTCTGTACGGCAAGCCGCCGCCGACGTCGACGCCGAGGCCGCCAAGCTGCTGCCTCAGCAACAGAGGCCCTTCCCACGGCGGCCGCGGAGTTGAAGCCGCCGCCGGCGCTACCGCGCGCAACATACCTGCCGCCGCCGACGCAACCCTGTCGGCCTGCTGTACGGCAAATTCGGATAAGTCCTGCGGCGACCACAACGACGCAGCCCAGTGGAAGGACGTTTGCGCGCGAGGTCGGAGCTGTCGAAGTACCCGAACACTGGCGTGCTCCGACGGCCAGTTGGCGGCGCCAGCGGTGGCGGCGGCAAGCCGTCGCCACTCCGCCACCGTCGCCGCCAACGATCCAGCCGTTGTAACGTGTGCGGCCGCATCATCATCGGAGCCGCCGCCGCCGCCGCCGCTACCGCTGCCCTTCCCGCTCTGTTGCCTTGCGAGGCAGTTCACCAGCGACATCGCGATGTGTTGCCGGATCATCAAGGCGCCGGTCGCCCTGCCGGGGCCGTTTGCGGCGCTGCTTGCTGTAGCTGCAGCTGCAGCATCGGCTACTGCGGGGATGGCTTCTGTCGTCGTCGCCGCCGCCGTCGTTGCGGCGACGGAAGCCGCCGCCGTTCCCCGCCGTTCCGCCGCCAATTCAGAACTTTCCGGATCGGGCCCCCCGAATGCCGCGACGGGAAACTCCGGACCCCAACTTCCGCAGCGCCGAATGGGCTCGTCGCCGACGGAACGACCTCCGCTGTAGCTGCCGCCGCTACTGCCGTACTGCATGTCGCGAAAGGCACCGACGGAGCAGCAGTTGGCGGCACTGGGCAGGTACGGCATGGCGCTCTCAGGCAGTAGCGCAACCGTCGCCGCCCATATGCCCGCTACCCCTAGAACTTGTCCCCACGAGGTGCTACAGCCGCCGCTCCGAAACCTGTCTGATTTCCATCCGCCAGTACGGAAGTCAGGGAACCTCCAGGAACTGTTAGACGCCGGATCCGACGCCACCGCTTCTGAAGGGCCCACCGCGACGGTAGTAGTCATCGAGGCAGGAGCAGCGGCGGCGGCGGCGGCGGCGGTAGCATGCCCCGTCGCAGCAGTTGCTACAACCTGCGGGGCCGGGTCGTTGTCGTCGGAGAGCGGCCGCCAGAAGTGCGGTATCACGGGCAGTAGCGCCATGAGAAAGCGCGGCATCACGGGCAGTAGCGCCTGCAGGAGTTTCGGCAGTAGCGGACGGATCAAGGTCCACATATCCACAAGCACGGGCTTCGCGCGCTGCCACAGCTCCGGAAGCACTGGCAACAGCCTCGCCGTGAGCTCCGGAAGCAGCAGCAACGTTCGTAGAGCAGGCTCTGGAAGCTTCGTCGGCACCGCCACGGACAGCATACGGTGTGTGCCGCGCATTGCAGCAGCTGTAGCTGTCGCCGCCGCCGCCGCCGCCGCTTCGGGTGCCGTCGCTTTGGCAGCGAGATCGGGTTCCCCGGCACCGCCGCCGTCACCCACCGCCGCCATTGACGCAGTCGCGGCAGAAGCCACCATGCGTCGCGTCGTACTGCCAGATCCGACGATACGGGAGCCGGCGGCGCCCATGGCGCCGGACGGTGGGGCGCTCGCCTGGAGTAGAGGCTTAGCCGTAGCAGCAGCAGCAGCAGGGGCGGCGGCGGCGGCGGCGGCAGTAGCATGGACGGCGCTCGACAAGGGAGATCTGGCAAACGACGCAGCGACGCCGTAAGTGACCCTGCAGCCAGAGCCGTACGACTTGACAATTGTACCCTGACGGCCGGTTGAGTACGGCAGCAAGCGGCGAAGCAGCGACACGCCAGGACGGATGACCGCCGCCGGCCGTTGGAACCCACCAAATGCAGCTCCCCTAGTAATAACTTGGCCCATCCCGTCGGCAGCTCCGCCGCCAACAGGTGCCGTACCGCTGACGTCACCGCCGTCGCAGTCTCCGTCGGCGGTAGCAGACGTGTGAGGGGCTGTTGCGCCGCCGCCGCCGTCCGAGCAGGTCTGGTGATGCTTGGCTGCATCCGCCGACACGGCGGCGGAGAATGTCGGCGGCGAAGACGTGCTGACGGCAGCGGCAGTGGCAGCGGCAGCGCCGCCGCCGGTGGTGCCTACACTCCCTCCAATACTGCCTACCTTCGGAGGCTGCGGGATGTTTGGCGTCAAGCGCGAGTCCACCAACCTTGACGTTGACGCCGGCATGACAACCCGAGACTGCCACCATCGCGTGTACGGCAAGGGAGTTGTCTTCAGATGCTGCTGCTGCTGCTGCTGCGGCGGCGGCGGCGGCTTGGTAGCGCAGCTGCTACTGCTACTGGCGGTGGTGGCGATGGCCGTCCGATTTCCGGCCCCGTCCTTGACCTCGGCCACTGCCTCCGCCGCTTGTGCAGCCGCCGCAGCTGCCGTACAGTTCTTTGTGCCGTTGGGGCCGCCATGTGGATCTGCCGGCAACAGCGTCACCGGCGGCCGCGACGCTGGCGGCAGCGGCGGCGGCGCCGCCACCGGGTCGTACCTCAGCGGCTCCGGCAGCAGTCGCAGCAGCCCTTGTTCCGCTGCCGCTGGCAGCGGAGGCAGGCTCCATAAAAGGCGGCGCAGCAGCGGCCGTACGACGCGATGTGGGTGCAGGGGGCCCACCAGGCCGCCCAGCCGTAGCGGCAGCCGGGTTGACCTAACGACGTCCGCATCCGCCTCCGAGACCAGCGTCGCAATCCGTCGTACCACGGCACCCCGCCAAGCGGCGTCCCTCAGCAGCTCACCTGTCCATATCCGTACACATCAAGAGACCGCAGCTCTAAATGCTTGTACGGCATTACGACAGTTGGGAAGAAGGCCACACCCACACCCACACCCACACCCGGGAAAAACCCAGCCCCAGTTGTGTGCCGGCCACATCCACATCATTGACCTGCGTCATCATCATTTCGGAGCTGCCCATCTTCGAGGAGACAAGGTAGGGAGCGGCGGCGGCGGCGGTCACACACCAGTGTACGGCAGTCACACCGGCCGGAAAATGATGAACACAACACAACGACGACCGTACGATACAGTGTTGCTCCACGGCCCCTTCACACAACAGGTGTAATGACAAGTACGGCTCCAAAACACCAACACGATGTTCCCCCCACCCCCCTCCGTGTGTGTGTGTGTGTGTGTGTGTGTCCCGACAGCCTTCCCCTTCCCCCACTCCCACTCCATCCGTCCCCTTCAGCCTTGATAATTTCGAAAACCCCCAACAGCCCCAAAAAGTATGACAAATATTAAAACCCTAAAACCCTAAGCTCTATGAAACCCACTTCATCTGGGCTTAAAGTAAAGCTCTCACCCCCCCCCTCACCCCCCCCCTCCACCCCTCCACCCCCCCGCGCACCGTGGTCCAGTCCCGGGTGAACCATGACGTGGTCGCCGTACCCCGCCCCCGCCAACATGGCCTCCAGGGTGGGTACAGACATCAGGTAGTCACGCCCCGCCAACACCACCAGACAGTGAGTGGGCAGCTCCTGCGGCCTGGGGGGGGTTGGGGGGGGTTGGGGGGGTTGGTGTGTGTGTGTGTGTGTGTGGGTGTGTATGTATGTGCGTTTGTATAGGTGTATATGTGAGTGTACACATGTGTGAATATGTGCATGCATACACACATATATACGGACATGTGTGCTTGTATGATGTGTGAAACAGGGGGGTATATCTTCACCCGTGGTAGCTACCCTGCGAAACCCTGCCTTCCCCCCGGTATTTCGGGGCACCACCCACCACCAGCATCCAACGGTATCCAGCTTGTATGTATGTATGTGTGTTCACAGTATACATCGTAAAGGATCCCCAGATGCCGTACATACGTATGCAAGCATGTACATTCACAGCCGGTAGTTTCGGTCATTCCGTTGTACGTACGGGTACGGGTACGTGATGTTGCAACTCCAACCCACGAACCCCTGTTCTCCCTACACACCCCTCCCTCCACACCCCTCCAAACCCACCACATGTTCATATCCGCCCAACGGAAGCGCAACGTCGTGGCCACAGCCGTGTGCAGGTCCCGAATGAACATACCCTGCGGTACGGGTGCGGGGGGTTGTGGGGCGGGGGGCCGCGTGTTAAACGACATGTACGACACGTGTACGACAACGGATGTGCGCTGCTGCAGTCCCTGTTCGCTAATGACAGCTACCAAACCTATGGTACGCATATTGTGATGGCAATCAGGGATGTGTTTCGGGGCATCATCATCAACAGTAGACCGGCATTACTCCTCCACCTCCCTCTTCCTAACGCTACTGTGCCGTACGTACTGCTAGGCGCCACCGGAGCCAGCAGTCGTTACTGCCGTACCTTGAACGTCCGCCACGCCCACTCGCGAGCCGCCTCTTCCACTGCCGCCACCGCCCTCCGCA